ACAGTATTCTCAGATACCAAGTGTGAGCATGCTAGTGAGAATATTTTTTATTGATTTTATTGAGCTATGCATTTTTCTCTGATCCCCTCCTTTTTCTCTCTCCTCCCCTTCAACCCTCTCCCATGATTCCCATGCTCCCAATTTACTCAAGAGATCTTGTCTTTTTCTACTGCTCATGTAGATTTTGCTCCAGCTTCTGAAAACTGAAAGCTTTACTTCTACTGTGTTCATTACAGCTGCTCCAAGGCATTCACTGGGGGTTGCCTACCTGGACCCCCAAACTGCTATGATTTATGTAATTGATATAAAATGGTGTGGAATTAGCATATAGTCTGAAAAATCTTTAAAACAATATGATCACTTCCAGAATACTTATGTCCCTAAGTGGAACACTACCGCTGTATAAATAGCTCCTAAACTGTTACATAGTGTCTAAGGAATAATGGCAGGAAATAAGTTTCAAATAATTTGACCCATGGGCAGCAGTAGAGTCTGCCATGTGGATCTCACAGAAAGAAGGAGCCACTGCACATGCTTTCTTGTGCAGCAGTTACAGATTTACTTACAGCCATCTAGCACATAGTTACTGGACTGCGTTATGTAGCAGGCACGGCCAGTCCATGTTGCTCACTTCTTCTCCTATAACTGCAGCTGTCAGTCACATGCTGTGCCGGGCAGCAGATGTGCTCCACAACCTCTCAAGTTTCTTTAAAACCGCTGCCCTCTAAGGGAGAGTGGGATAGCTCAGCAGCTGAGAGCTAGCCCTCCATGCACAAGCCTTGGGTTCAATCTTCATTGCCATAAGAAGGTAGGAACCACGGTGTCCTCAAACCAATGAGGACTCAGTCCATAAAACCTTTGGGGGTGTGGAACTCAAGACTTTATTAACAGAGAGAAAAATACATGCACATCCTAACAGGGGCAGCCATTCTCAGGAGGGATCAACATCACAAGTGTCACTGCTCACAGAAAATCACAGTTTTGCTGGGATTGTTCTCACTTCAGCACCCAAATGTTTGTGGAAGAAAGTCTGGAGTTGCTGCCATGCATCCACTTGGGCCATGGCATGAGCCCTGGGCTCCCCACCAAAGACGACAGGCATCTTAATATTGGCATGTAAGGAAGCCTTGCACCAAGGAAAATAAGGGGGCTCAATATAGTGCCCGGCTTCTGGGTATAAGATGATCTGGGGCTTCTCCTTCCCATGGGCCTGCAAGCGTTTGGAGATCTCATTCGCAAAGAATTCGCTCTTCCAGTTGCGGTCATCCTGACCCACAAGGAACAGGAAGGTGGAGTCAGACCTTTCCACAGGGATGATGCTCTTCTGGTCAGGGCCTTCTAAAGGGCAATTCAGGGCTTCCAAAATATCTCTAAGGCCATCTTTGGTCACTCTGATTCGATTCATGTTAATGCTCAAAGGGGGCAGGGTCTCATCCTTGTAGTGCAGTGTTCCAGCAGCGTTGGCCATGGAGCCATTGATTATGACAGCCGCTGTAATGCCTTTCAGGAAAGAGGCCATGGAGAGGCAGAGGTCAGCCCCTTTGGAAATCCCCAGCAGGCCAATTCCTGGTCCTTTGACCTAAGAAAGAGAGAGAGAAAAGAAAGGGAATGAGTGCATCTAGAGGGTAGGGCAGTTAGTGGTGCCAACCTAGGGATGGAGGGTGGCCCTGAGCCTGACTCTCA